CACACTCACACTCACACACACACACACACACTCACAAACACACACACATCACACACACACACACACACACACTCACATACACACACACACACGCTTTCTCGTCCGCACGGAGCTATTCAGAACCCGCGCTGCAGACTGAGCGACGAGCTAACCTCATACTGCGAGGCTTGGGGGTTTTTGATATTGGCTAAATGTAGGCTATCAAAGCCATATTAAGTTAATTAATTAATTGATTTCGCTCAACATATGATGATAAATGATAATTCCCCTCAAACAGGGTTGATTAAGTGTTGTGTGTGTGCGCGCGACACTGAAGGGCTTTATGGATTTGTGTTCTGTATAATCTTGCATGAAGGAGCGGGGAAAGTGCGGAATGTTCAAAGTAACGCATTTGTGTCGGAGCGGGTTTCTATGGTAACACGTTTCCGCAAAAAGAAAGAAAGAAATGCGCCTAGTATTTCGCAATTCTGACTTTTTGCTCTTAATTCATAGTTTATATCGCGCAATTCTGTTTTTTTTTTTTTTTTTTTTAATTTATGGATGCCCATTTCCAACACGGAATAAAAAAAATAAAAATAAAAAAGTTTAATTGCGACTTTTGTCTAAAAATTCTAATTTATCTTGCAATTCTGAAAAGAAAGAGTTGTGAGACTTTAACTCAGAATTGTGAGATAAAAAGTTTCAATTACCTTTTTTATTCTGTGGCGAAAGAAAAAACTGGAAAAAAAAAGAGAACTCAGAGTTTTAAGGAAAAAAGTCTGTTTATATCTTGCAATTCAGAGAAAAAACATCTAAATTGCGAGATATAACTTGTAATTCTTAGAAGAAAAGTCTGAGTTAAAAAAAAAAAAAGGCTATGGAATAAAAAGTTGCAATTACCTTTTCTCTGTTTTATTATGTGGCAGGAATGGGCTTCCATTTAAACATATATATAAATTAAAAATTGCGCCTTTTATCTCACAATACTGACTTTTTTCGCTTAATTTATAGTTTATATCTCGCAAATCTGTTTTTTTTTTTATGGAGGCCCATTTCCAGCACGGAATATAAAAAAAAATAAAAAGTTAATTGTGACTTTTTGTCTAAAAATTCTAATTTATCTTGCAATTCTGAAAAAAAAAAAAGAGTTGTGAGATCTTAACCCAGAATGGTGAGATTATTTTTTTTATTCTGTGAAAAGAAAGAAAAAAACAGAACTCAGAGTTTTGAGAAAAAAGTCTCTCTTTATATCTTTCAATTCTTAGAAGAAAAGTCTTACATTAAAAAAAAAAAAAAAAAAAAAGGCTATGAGATAAAAACATGTAATTCCTTTTTTAAAAATTATTATTATTATTATTATTATTATTATTATTATTTGGCAGAAATGGGCTTCCGTAGGTTTCTTGGCTCAATGTAAAACCCGGAGTTCAGTGTGTGATCTGATGAGGCAAATGAAAAGAGTTTGACAATGATTTGTAATAACTTCTGATAGTCGCTGGGTGACTGAGGATGTGTGTATGAGATGGACATATGCTTGGCTGCTGGAAGCCCTCTCTCTCATCATCACATCAGCATCACTGCAGCAGCGCACACGTGGAGAACTGTACAACACTCCTGTCAAACATCACAAGAAACGCTCGGGATCGAAGGAAGCTCCACTCTCAGAACTCTTAACTGTACAGTATCTACACATTATTACAATATGCTGAATTCTGATATCAATTATACAACATCCAACGCACTTTTAGAAGAAAACAAAAAGAGATATTAAATAACAAAGAAAGTTGAAGTAGAGTATTCTAACATAACATTTCTTTATTTTAAGTATAAACGCAAAAGACTGAACTATTATTCCCAGGATTAAACAGGACTGCTGTCTCTTCGGTGTTTTCTCAGACTGCATATATGATCGGATGCTGCAGTGAAACCCATCCAGCATCTTAATCATTCATGTGAAACTGCACAATGCACAACTCAGATGCATTCAATATGAAGCGTCTGCGGCGCAGCAGAATGCAGAGGTTTGAAAGGCAACAGCGCCACCTGCTGGAGAAATACAAG